AGACCAACACATTATAATAAATATTCTCCGTCACAATTAGTTTTTGGTCATGAACCAAATATTGCCCATCTACGAATTTTTGGATGTGCTGTATATGTGCCAGTAGCACCACCACAGCGCAGTAAGATGGGCCCCCAAAGAAGGTTAGGAATATATGTTGGGTTTGAATCACCCTCTATTATTCGCTATCTTGAACTATTGACGGGAGATTTATTTACTGCTCAATTTGCAGATTGTCGATTTAATGAAACAAATTTCTCACAATTAGGGGGAGAGAAAAAGGAAATCAAAAGAGAAGTTAAGGCTAAACTGATGAGATATCGAAATGTTATGGCATCCATAACTGGTAAATATGTTTCTTCATAATCGACTCCAGGTCGTTGTGAGAATCCTTGTGCGACAAGGCGAGCCTTGTATCTTTCAACTTCATTTTGGTCATTTTTTTTCGCACAAAAACCCATTTATGACCAACTGGTTTTACACCAGCAGGTGTTTGGACTACTGGTCCAAAGACCTCTCTTTTAGCAAGTGCGTTCAATTCTGATTGAATTTTCCCTTACCATTTTGGCCAATCAGATCTTTGTTGACATTCTTCGATAGATCGGAGTTCACAATCCTCACTATCTTGTATAATGTTAAGTGCAACATTATATGCAAAAGTATTATCCACCACTATTTCAGATCGATTTAAATTAATCCCATCACCAGTAGAACTTATTAAAAGTTCCTCACTCACTTGAGTCTCGGGTTCATTGTTTTCTTCAGGAATCTCAGAACTAATCAGATCTTGGGTCTCTTTAGGAGATCCCTTCATAATATCATTTTGATCATTTGTCGACTTTTTTTTTCTAGGATTTCGATCCTTAGAACCCAAAGACCTACCACGCTTCAGGCGTGCTTTAGGTTCACTAGTTCTTATGCTAGTAGATGGTCCTGCTAGGACAGTAATTCGTATAGGCACATTCTCTGCAGGGATATGTGACTTAGTTATCCTTTTCAAATCAGTAAATGCGTCTGGCATTTAATTTGCTATATTTTGTAAATGGATGATCTTCTGGACCTCCTGATTACATATAGGGATACGTGGATCAAAATAAGATAATGATGAAACTTTCCATATGATGGATGTGGTTACAACTTATCTGTACGGGTCACTTGATAATGAGATTTACATGAAAACCCCTGAAGGATTTAAAATACCTGAAGCATATTCGAAATCTCGAGAAATGTATTCAATCAGATTACAAAGATCTTTGTACGGTTTAAAGCAATCTGGGCGCATGTGGTATAATCGCCTTAGTGAATATTTACTGAAAGAGGGTTACATAAATGATGTTATTTGTCCATGTATTTTTATAAAGAAAATGACATCAGAATTTGTTATACTTGTTGTTTATGTTGATGACATAAATCTTGTTGGAACTCCAGAAGAGCTCCAAAAGGCAATTAAATATCTTGTCCATGTTTATGTTGATGACATTGATGTGCAGCAAATCCGTTCAAGTGACAATCCGGCAGATTTATTCACTAAATCTTTGCCAACTTCAACTTTTGAGAAAATGGTATACAAGATTGGAATGCGGAGACTCAAATATTTGAAACAAGATTTTTATCAGGGGGAGTAAAATACGCAATGTACTCTTTTTTCCTTACTAAGGTTTTTCCCCACAGGATTTTCCTTATAAGATTTTTAATGAGGTATCTAGAAATGCGTATTACTAAATATGTGTACTTTTTTTCCTTCACTAGGATTTTTCCCAGTGGGTTTTTCCTAGTAAGGTTTTAACGAGGCACAATACCTTTTAATGAACATCCATGGGGGTGTTATAAAAATAATTATATTGTGGATATTCATTTATTACTCCGCTATAGATAATCTTCCTGAAGAAGATTATCCATTTAGTACTCTGTTGAAGTTTATCTACAAGCAGCTGATGCAGGCAGGTTGCAAGCAGCTCAATGAAATGATTTGTAGCAGCTTCTTATTAAACATGTAGGTTGCAAGCAGCTCATGCAGACAGCTTACAAGCAGATAAAGAAAAGCCTTGCAGCTGCTTCCTGAAAAGCCTCGTAGCTGCTTCCTTTCTTCTATAAATAGAGGAGTTTTCAGTTCATTATGTACATAAGTTTGAAGTTTGAATAATATATCAGTTTCTCTCTATACTTGTATTTACTTTACAGTTTTTATTTTATAAAAATACTCCATTTAATTAATTAAACAACTGTTCAGTTTGAACTAAATTAGTGTTCCCATTGGTAGGCAGTCACTCCAAACTCAAGAAAAAGGATAGAAAAAGATATAAAGTATGGCAAATCGCTAAGAGACAGCGTAAACAATTTATACACTATTAATACATGTTAACATGTTGTAACGGAGTTGTAACAATTATAGGGGTATCAAATTACTGAGTCATACCATAAAAGTATGGGAGAGGGTGGTTGAAGCGAGGGTGAGGATGATAGTGTCTGTATCCGACAACCAGTTCGGGTTCATGCCGGATCGTTCGACTACAGAAGCTATACACCTTGTAAGAAGGTTGGTGGAACTGTACAGAGAGAGGAAGAATGATTTGCACATAGTGTTTATTGACCTAGAGAAAGCGTATGACAAGGTTCCTAGAGAAGTTCTCTGGAGATGCATGCAGGCAAAAGGTGTATCAGTTCCCTACATTATGGCGATTAAGGACACGTATGATGGGGCTACGACTCGGGTTAGGACAGTAGGAGGCGACTCTGAGCATTTTCCGGTTGTAATGGGGTTACACCAAGGTTCTGCGCTCAGTCCGTTCTTATTCGCCCTGGTGATGGAAGCGTTAACACACCATATTTAAGGGGAGGTGCCATGGTGCATGCTATTCGCCGATGACATAGTTTTGATTGATGAGTTGTGAGCCGGTGTTAATGAGAGGCTGGAGTTTTGAAGACAGGCTCTTGAGTCTAAGGGTTTCGAGCTGTGCAGGACGAAAACGGAATACCTGGAGTGTAAATTCAGCGCTGAGCCAGGGGAAGTGGGCGTGGATGTGAGGCTTGATTCGCATGTCATCCCGAGTAGAGGCAGCTTCAAGTACCTTGGCTCGGTTATCCAGGAGGGAGGGGAGATCGACGAGGATGTCACACATCGTATTGGGGTAGGATGGATGAAATGGAGGTTAGCATCTAGAGTCCTGTGTGACAAGAGAGTGCCACCGATTCTCAAAGGTAAGTTCTATAAAGCGGTGGTTAGACCGGCCATGATGTATGGGGATGAGTATTGGCCCGTTAAGAACTCACATATCCAGAAGATCATAGTAGCAGAAATGAGGATGTTGTGGTAGATGTGCGGGCACACTAGGATAGATAAGATTAGGAATGATGATATTCGGGAGAAGGTGCATGTAGCTCCCATTGATGACAAGATGCGGGAAGCGAGGCTTAGATGGTTCGGACATGTTCAGAGGAGAAGCTTGGATGCTCTGGTACGGAGATGTGAGCGGCTGGTTATGGAGGGCACGAGAAGAGGTAGAGGGCGGCCTAAGAAGTATTAGAGAGAGGTGATCATGCAAGATATGGCGAGACTCCAGATTTCTGAGGACATGACACTTGATAGGAAGATGTGGAGGTCGAGTATTAGGGTTATAGGTTAGGAGGTAGTTGAGTCGTGCCTTACTTCGTACCATTGTGGGACTAGCCATGTAGGGTTTTTGTCTAAGATAGCTAGTGGCAATTATGTATCTTACTATTTCGTTTTTCAGTGCATGTCTTATTTACTAGCTATCGCTTTTGCTTTGCATCTTATTTGGATTTTATGGTGTTCCTATTTTTCTTATGATTGTTGTGGTGATACTAATATTGTCTCACTTTGCTTTGCATCTTTCTTCTGTATTTTATGGTGTTCCTATTTTTCCTATGATTGCTCTGGTGATACTAATATTGTCTCTTTTTGCCCTTTTGTTTTCTTGAACCGAAGGTCTTTCGAAAACAGCCTCTACTCCTTCGGGATAGGGTTAAGGTCTACGTACACACTACCCTCCCCAATCCCTATTAGTAAAATTTCACTAGGTGGTTGTTGTAATACATGTTAACATGTTATTGCAGAAGTTTCAGATAACTAATCAACAGTTATTAGAAGCGCGATTAACTGTAATTATTTCTTATGGAACCTGTAGCGTAAGTACTTTACACTGTCGATGTAAAAAAGTTATTAACTCTATAGACAGATATTTTGAGTACTTGAACACAAGACCATAAAGAGCGCCATACAAAAGAAATGTTTAAGCCAGTAATTGATATGGTAACTCCCCTTATTCACATGACTATTACGAGAATTCCAGTTTTTGTTGGAACTGGCACAGTTCATCCTTCTACAATTCAACGTTGAGAGTCTTCTTTTTTATAAGAATGATTCAGTCCTAAGGATTCAACTCAAAGCAGAACTTTAATTAATCCCTCTGATAAACTACAAGCTATATATTGTGCATTCAAAAGACAAATAACCCAACCATCTAATCCATGGAAGTTATCATGTTTCTATGCAAGAGAAATGATAATAGAAAACTGCAGAACAAAATAACGGGCATTTTTACACCCTGTAATACTTTCCCACTACAAAATAAAACAATCTGAAGAGCGTTTAAAATGGATAGCAAACATAACTCTAATAGAACAAAACTGCAGCATCTTGGCGATGCTCTCATTTCCCTGATGCGTCCAGTGATTAAAAAAAAGCCTTAGTAACAACGGCAAAACAAAAAAGATGCTAGGTTTGGGCAATGATTCATCATTCCTTCCACATATCAGCAAACTCATCGACTTCTAGAGGATTTGACAACTGATGCATTTTTCTCCTAGTCTTGGCTTTGACTTTCTTAGCATATTTCCCGGCCTTCTGTTTTTTCTCTAATGATCGGATCTGGAAGCATTTTAAGAGCGGAGAAACATTTAGTATCTGCTCCTAATAAGCCACTTCTTCCCCAATGCCTTGTAGACAAATAAGGCAATCTACATTTTAGTGAGCGAAACGATAAGGACCAGAGGATGAATGTTACCTGATTTGGTGAAACGTAAAATGGATTCTCGTAGAGTGTGGGGCCACCAAAGCTACCACCAAATATTTTAATTGGGTTCAAGCAGAACCTTGGACCAACCTATCCGCATAAAGACATGAATTAAATATCAAACATCACAGACCTCACAATTTGAGCTGGTTAGAGTTTTATAGCAAACCTCAACAAGGGTCATCTTTTCCAGGTCCCCACGGTCTATTTTTTGTGTTCCAGTATGAGGACAAGATATCTGTTCCAAAATTGAAGAAGTCATATGACATACGTTAAGAATACATGGTATACGGGTAAAGAAGAACCCTTCTCATCTGTTAAAAAAAGAGAGGAGAGAACCCTAGAAATAACACAGCTTTGAAGTAAATACTGGCAGACATCTTATTCTAGATAGGACTTAAAACCCAAAGTCATAATTACTAAAAGATTAACTAATACTCAGGCTGCACTTACCTACCGGCTACAATTGTATTTTGAGATGGAGGTGAAAGTAGTAACTCTACATTCCCCAGTCCCTCAGAGGCAAGGTTAGTATGGTTCAATAGCAGAAACCTTACCCCGAACAAAGAGTTTAAGACTAATCGATTGTGTGATCTCATGTATTATTTGTACTTCCTAGATTTTCCTAAGAGGTTTTCTACTATGTTTGCAACCTTATATATTAGTCTCTGGTTAATAAAGTTAGCTGCGTTGTAAATTTTTAAACTATAGCTAGAAAGAAGTTATGATGAAGGTATCAAGAGACACTTCCAACCCTAATAGATTTCCTACTGAGGATCCAAAAGAAACTAGTTGAATCATCTAGCCACTAGCACTGTCTTAGTGCAAGTTTATTTATAAAATATTTAATTGCTTACCCACTGCTTGCCGCTATTGCTTCTTTTTCATCTTTCCTTGAGCCGGGGGTCCACCGGGAACAGCCTCTCTAACCGCAGAAGGGTAGGGGTAAGGTCTGCGTACACTCCACCCTCCCGAGACCCCACTTGTGGGATTATACTGGGTTTTTTGTTGTTGTTAATTACTTATGAAAAAAACATACGAAGATGGTCAGTCTTTGAATAAGAACAAACCTGGTAATTACGGAACCATATGTGATCATCAAGGATTGAAAACACAAAAACGTGATCATGGAAAGGTTTAGATTTGCGGTGATCCTTTGGAGTTCCAAAAATCTGATGAAACAGAAGAACACAAAGATATGTAAGAATCCGAACAGTAACTGAAAAAATCACATCAAAGAAAAGGTAAGAGCTAAAGGGTGATTATCTTAAACATCATGAAATAATAAAACTCAACTCAAAGGAGATAATCTTGTATTTCAACCATATATTTCTCTACCTCTAGAGACATCACATTAAATAATTCAAAATTTAAAGAGAATGCTCCGACCACTGTTTAATTTTGTAAAACAGAGAAGACAAAATAACTGGACAAGATTATAGTGCAGGCAGAATGAAGGAAAAGGCTAGTGGGGTATGGAGGAAGTGCCAACACAGTACTCCCAAATACACAATGTTTCATGAAGATTAGCACCTTCGGTAGGTCTAGCAACTAGGATCAAGAAGTAGACTTCTCTGTCTATTCTGAGGTAAATTTCTTAAAACTTGAAAGTAACTGTTATGATTATCAGCAAAAAGTAAAAATGGAATACGAAACAATCAACTGTTATATCTTAGATAAGTCCTTATGGGGATAAGTGCAAAGTAGAATGACTGAGTTGAGGTCGAATTACCTGTATGACCATTTCTTTCAAAAGCTTCCAGTGCGGGTCTTTATCAAAGTTGCTTGAGAAAGTCAAGATAGGCCGTGAACCCTTCAAGTGATTTCCAGTTAGCTTCAATTCTTCCATCGTGTGCACTGATAGAACAGACGAAAAAGTATAACAATTTGAAGCTTTCCTCGTTAAAGAAAAGATAAGGTGTGACGGACAACTATTCATATTGTTGAAAAATGTATATTTGTAGCCGCCTCCGAGAAATAATAGCCGACAAAATGAATATTTTTTGTATATAATTAAAGAAAAGATAAGGTGTGACGGACAACTATTCATATTGTTGAAAAATGTATATTTGTAGCCGCCTCCGAGAAATAATAGCCGACAAAATGAATATTTTTTGTATATAATTAAAGAAAAGATAAGGTGTGACGGACAACTATTCATATTGTTGAGAAATGTATATTTGTAGCCGCCTCCGAGAAATAATAGCCGACAAAATGAATATTTTTTGTATATAATTAAAGAAAAGATAAGGTGTGACGGACAACTATTCATATTGTTGAGAAATGTATATTTGTAGCCGCCTCCGAGAAATAATAGCCGACAAAATGAATATTTTTTGTATATATGTGTATTATACACATATAATATACATAATTTATACACTTTTTGGCTAGCGGATGTCAATAGTTTCTGCCGATCGACCAATTTTGTATTTTGCTCTTTATTGTTCAGTAAACATATACAAATTGTATCAGAATCAATTTGTAAAACTTGGTAAGGAGAATAATCCACTTACCTGCATTAACTAAGAACTTCACAGAAGGACCATTCGGGCACTTGGCCATCCATAGATAAAGGTCCTTTCCCTTCCGGCACTGAAAAGCAGAAAATAAAGCATAATAAATGTCAAAAGCATAACGGAAACTAGGAGACAGCTGAATCAACAAAAGACAAATAAGTGATGGAACCATAGTTTCCAAATGCAAAAGGCTAAAATATTTTAAAACAATCAATCCACCATGACTAGCCAAAAATGGTTAAAGGGACAGCTAGAATTCATCTAACTACATCATCTAGAATAATAACCGCTTCAAGCTTCTCTCTGAAAGGAAATCCTTCCTCATAGCAATAATATCTTGGAGGAATTTGAAGATGACAAGGTAACCCCCATTATTAAGCAAGAAAAAAGAAAAAGGAATAAGCACTGAATTTTCTGCCACATAACTCTGCCAGCCTTTCAGCGCATCAGTCTTGACTCCTGAGCTNCCCCAAAAAAAAGAAAAGGTTATTGCCTAATTAATTCTCATAATCCACAAGCTAAGGGGTTGTTTGGTATAAGGTGGGACTATAATCTCCCAAAACTGGATTGAACTGGCAGGACTAGAACAGAAGAAGCAAATAGGAAACAGATGGAAGAAACTTGCTAGCACTGAAGATGTCAACTAACCAAGTCTAAATTGGTCTAGAGGAGGAGGAGGAGGAGAGAGAGGAGTAGTTCAAGCAGGTAAGTCAGTCCACGTTTATATGTGGCATGGTTTTGATTGATTCACTCAAAATCTTATGATAAGTCAAAACAAAGTAACACCCACTGCATTTCAAGAGTTGAATTTGCAAGGCGACTGAAACTGTGCAACAGAAATGACAGGGTACCTCGAAGAATAAACAAGACGAACAGCTCTTCAGCTCAACTAGCTCATTCAAAGTTGCACCTTTACTATCCTTAGACTCCACCTTGTTATCTTTCTTACAGTGAGGCAAAAGGGAAACCAAGTTCAGCATTAAATGCCGATACCTGAAAATACAAATCAACAGCAAGTACAAACATTCATCTCAAATCAACCACATCAACAAATTGGATTCTTGTAAGATTATAAAGAATAAAAGCAGAAGAAATGAACCTGAAGCTAATGCGACGAGAACAAGTAACCAAGACCTTTTCTTTATTTCTAAAACTAACCCCAGAGTTAGTTTCTTTATTCTCGTCAATGGAATCATCTTTCCAACCTAAGAGAGTCCTCTTAGGCCTTTCTGGTGCACCTTCATGTTTATTCCCATTGGCCACAGTCGCAGTTTCACTGTGTTTCCGCTTCTTTCCCATGGATATTGATGAAACTTTACACACAGCTCTAAAAATCCAAAATATTTAGATTGATGAAGGTTACATGGGATGCAATAAAAGCATGAAATCCAAAAGAAATCGAAGTTATAGAAGCATGAGGTATTGCTAAAATGGCAGTATTATTGCAGAGTCCCAAATAATACCCTGAGGTCATGAAACTTGTGTCTTCCTACCTCAAGCCTTACTCAAACATCCTGGTACAATTTCCGGTAATCTTGTTGCTTTTACTTTTGCAATTGCACGGGTACTAGTACTACTACTACTACTATACATTGTTGGTTTGCAGACGGATTAAAAAAATAGACAAAGAATGTCATTGCTCTTGTCTAATGTTCATACTATGAATGTTTTATTTTTCCTGCATACTTTTTTACAACAGCAACAACTACACCTTAGTCCCAAACAGGCTAGGGTCAACTACGCGAATCCTCACAGACCCCGTTACTCAACTTAAACTCATATCATGCCAATTCCTAAATACTTTTTCGTAGATAAAAAACCAAAATCTTGTTGAATGAGCAGAAAGAATTGGTGGTTTAGCATGCCATTTTAATCCAATCTAGTAATACACCACTCCTTGCACCAAAACACGATTTACTCAATATACAATAAGCTCTAAAAAGCAGGAAGAAAAGAATATCAAGATATCACATTCACTCAATACACTATCAGCTCTAAAAAGAAGGGGAAAAAAGAGGGAAGCAAAAATAGAAATCACCGTAATAAACCATAACAGTAGATGAACAAAATGCTATTTTGACTGACCTGAGCTCCAAAGAGGAAGGAAAATCGCCGCGGATGGTTTAGACGAGAAACGGCGCACGGCGCGCATCAGTGGCAGTGGAAAGCAAATAAAGGCGGACTGATATATCCCAAACTTTACCTAATACTAAATATTACTCAAAAGATTTAAATTAGTTTTGAGAACTGCATTAATATTCTTAAGTTTGGAGCAGAATGACTGAAAATTTAAAAATTAATTGTGCGTTGAACTATCTTAAACCCGTACACTATGAAAGGTGAAATTGATTTATTAATTTCATAAACGTGTCTACTTAATTTTTTTTCTTGTCGATAATTAGACTCTACCAATTACATTAGTTTTGCATTAATAATGCGGTTTATTTAAATCAAAATAAGAAAAGTAAAAGATCAAACAAATCGGACTTGATCAATTCCCGTCAGCTCCACTGGACTAATAGCAATTTTTGTTTTGGGGCCAAAAGTGTTTTTGACCAAAAAATGAAGTGTTTGGCCAAGCTTTTAAAAGAAAAAAAAAATTGAAGAGACGTAAAAGCAATTTTTGAGAAGCAGAAAAATGTAGTTTCTCTTCAAAAGTATTTTTAAGAAAAATACATTTAGAACTAGTTTTTCAAAAATTTGACCAAATATTAATTTATGTTCAAAAATTATTTTTAAATTAATTAACCAAACACAAATCGATTTTCACCAAAAGTACTTTTTTTGAAAAATAATTTTAAAAAAACAAACATGTCATAATTCTTGAATTACTGCTGGTGGGAATTCCTTTTTATTTGTTTATTATTATTTCCTCTCCTTCTCTCACCTAATCTAACAACAAAAGTCAAAGTGAAAATATTAAGTTCTTCGGTTTGCAATAAACAATAATTTTGGGACCAAAAAAAAGCAGCTCATTCAAATTGATGACTTGTTTGCTTTTGTATGTGTCCATTTGGATGCGCGTAAATCGTACCTAACGTTAAAGGGTCGGAGCAACATCTTTACATTACACTAATACCCCTTTATATGCAGACAATTACGTTAATACCTTTCTAACACATCAGTGGCTGCCGACGATAAAGCGTCAGAACTTATCGCAAATTTAATGCAATGCAAATTTCCCCAATTTATGACCTATTATATTATTTTCGTTATATAAATACGTAAATGCTCTTTATGGCCAGATCATTATATTATAGGTATAACGAATTAACGATAGATAACCGGAATAAAGTTATTATTAGTTTTTTTATTTAAATATATTCATTATTCTACTACATTTTATTTAAGAATACGAGAATAAACTAGTGCCTTATTCAGATATCTTGATTTATCTCTTAATTAATTTTTTGCCGTTAGAATAATATTTTTACTAATTTAAATATATATTTATATATTATATTTACACGTTTTTTTATTTAATGACTACCTTCCTAGAGTTTCTTTTTCACCTTTCTCTACTTGAAAAGCCAATTGGCTTGTCTGGATTAATGTTTTGTCTTATTAGACAAAAGAAAGAGTTCAGACATTATTAAAAATGAGACTGCAGTAATGCAATCACTCACAAATAAAGAAAATATAGTAAGATTAATAACAAGTTGTATCTCTATAGTTTTAAATTAATACAAAATTAAAATAAAATACGCTTATCAATTTTCTTCATTAAACTACAGTAGTAATTAATTGTGTATGATATATCCCGCTAACTTATAGAAGGAAAAGAGCTTTTGTTTAATCATTTAATTTTCTTATTCTACCAAAACAAAGTATTTTGTTCCCAGTAGGTTCATTATGGACCATAGTTCATGCAACATGCGAAATTACTCTTTCATATTTGGTTAAATAATAAATGACAAGTATTTCATTTCGAGCCATTCAAATACTTTCACTTACTAAAAATATGAAACACAAATGAAGTACCAGCAGAAAAAGGAAAGAGAGGAATAAGTACTATTACAGTCAGACCTCTAACAACACTTCACTATAAAAGTCAGATTTTTTTCGGAACTAATTTTCATATTATGTTATAATATATATTCTTTATAATAACAATTCTCTATAACATTCAAAAATATTTGAAATAAACGAAACTGGTATAGAAAGGTATGGCAGTATTATATATATTTTTTTTGGAGAGTCTTTGGTTTTGCAAAATCAGCGGCAGCTTAACGAAGCAGAGAAGTGGCAACCGCGTAATAATACCCAATTCCAGGACCTTTCCCCTAGTACTATTTAATCGATCGAATCTCCTTACAAACTCACAGAAATATTATTCTTTATCCTTTTTCACATTATTAGAAAATCTTTTTCAATTTCTCTCTCTAAAATGTCCGGTTACCCGCATAACGTTCCCGGCTACGGTTACGGTCAGCCACCACCACCCCAGCCGTACTCCTCCACCCCATACGGCGCTGCTCCACCACATTCAGCATCCCCTTACGGTGCCCCACCACCGCCCTCTTCGTCATCCTACGGTGCCCCACCACCACAAAGTCACTCCTCCTCCCCATACGGTGCCCCGGCCCCACCACAAAGTCACTCCCCTTACGCACCCGTCCCCTCTCCGTACTCCGCCGGTGCTCCGTCTTACGGTAGTGATCCGCATAAACCCCCAAAAGAGAACAAACCGCAGTCTTACGGTGGTTACCCGGCTCCACCACCTTCAGCTCCTTACGGTGATCCGAACAAACCCCCGAAAGATAATAACCCACACGCGTCTTCTCCTTACGGTGGGTACCACGCGCCAGCTCCTTATGGGGCTACGAGCCCGTTTGCATCACTAGTGCCCTCGGCTTTTCCACCTGGCACCGATCCGAACGTGATAGCGTGTTTCCAGCTGGCGGACCAGGATGGGAGTGGGTTAATCGATGATAAGGAGCTGCAGAAGGCGCTTTCTTCTTATAATCAGAGCTTCAGCTTGAGGACTGTTCATCTCCTTATGTACCTCTTCACCAATACCAATACTAGAAAAATCGGTAATTTCACACTCATAATCGCATTTTATTTGTATGATTCCTCTCCAACAACAATTTATGTTAGGGTGTTTGATCGAGCACAGAATTTAAAAAAAGAGTTTGAAATTATATGCACGAAATTGGTAAGACAAGCCATAGCTCATTAAGGGCTAAATTGAAAGTTTAGAGTTAAATTGTTTCTAAATATAGAATTGTGTCATTACTAAAAAGAAAGATTGTCACGTAAAATGGGAGTGAGGGAGTGCGTCTTCAAACTAATTGGGGTCAGCATCGTCTGAATCCTCAATATCCATTCTGTTCCATCTGGGCGTCTATTTTTAGAACGAATTGCAGTGTATTTTGTGGTTAAAACAATTAATATTTCAGTTTTTCCCATGGTTCGTAGAAAATAAAGGAATTGGTTATAATTCAATGCTGAAAATGATATGTCTTGTAAAAAAGATAATATGCAGTATGTACAATAAAAAAAAAGTGCTTAGGTTGATTTGTGAGCGGAGTGGTTGAAGAAGGTAATTTGGTCTAACCAGTTGTAATAGATAAGTTATTCTGATTAGTGCTGTATAGTTTCTATGAACATTAAGCCACTGCATTGGTGGGCCATCCTTAACGCATATATTGGCCCGGAAGATATGACCTAGAACAGGCCTACAAAATTTAGTTACATAGACTGCCTGACCATTTTACTTCTTCTGAGTTGGACATGTAGCAAACCAATATCTCTTTTCATCTTGTTGACATATATTTTAACCTGCTGAAGCAGACAGTCTACCTCCTACCATGAGACAGGTTTTTGAGTCATCAAGGGGAAAAATTAAGAGAAGAAACTGTTGGTCCCTTGATGGGGAAATTTCAGGGTGGGGTTTACCATATAAAAAGGGGGAAAAGGACATTTTTTCCAGCAGGAAAATCTTTACAAAGCAGATTAGAATTTCCTATAAATTGGCAAATAGATTAATTTACTCAAGCGTGTTCATAAGTTCATATTTGAAAATTATCTTGCTAAATTTGATACTATCTTGCTTTATGAACATTATTTTGATAAATTGAATACTTTCTTGTTCTAAGCTGTATTACATAGTTTCCTTGTGAAGCAAAGAAAATCCAGAGCATGTTGTAAGCTGAAAACTTCATATGACCTGACCTCTTCCAACTATATATAGAAATGTGTGTGTGTGTGAGAGAGCGCACACTTGTGAATTTAAAACATGTCTGAATTTTTTGTTCTGGCAATTATATTGAGGCCCCGATGTTCAGTGAATATTTCTGTAGCAGAGTTGGATGAAATGCATCAAATTAGTGGTTGCATTTAGTTGTCTGTAAAGTAAACAAAAATGAGCCTGTGGCAATATGGTGAATAGCGACCGAAGTTCCCTTTTCCCTTCTCTCTTTTTTTAATCTTTCCTTTCTCTTTTCCGTTCTTTTTAAGAATCTCATTAAAGCACGTCTTGAGTGTTAGATGGCAGAACAAAACGGCCTATCGAAAAATGCAACTTTGTACATTGTTTATGGATTAAAAGTTGTCCTGGAAGAACCATTATTCAACTTTAGAAATTTTAGTTTCAGTGTGGCAGTAAATAATTTTGTGTGCAAATATGTGCTCTAAACTTATCTTTTCCTCGACATTTTTGAAGAGGAAAGGTGAAAGCGGAAAGATTTTTTAATTTATCTTCCTACTGGCCTTTTCTCTATATTTCCAATTTCCAAGTGTTATTGGCTCTGAAGTTAATCAGGAGTATCATTTGACGAAGCCGACAGAGTTTGAGCTGGGGATATACTTTTATGGGGGGAAAATTGTTGAGTGTATTGATCTTTTCCTTTTCCTTTTTTTTTTTTTAACTTGTTGATCTATTTTCTTATCTGGAAGCAGGTCCCAAAGAATTCACTTCAGTCTTTTACAGTCTTCAAGAGTGGAGAGTAAGTTGAAAAATTCTTATATCTTCACCTATGCATTTCTTTGTGTTCTATGTTTTGGCTTAAAAAGGATCTCCCTCTTTATACAATCTGATTGGAAGTTCCTGTACGCAGGGAATATTTGAGAGATTCGACAGGGATAGGAGTGGAAGAATTGATTCATCTGAATTGAGAGACGCATTACTTAGCCTGGGATATGCTGTATCACCTCCTATCCTGGATTTGCTGGTCTCCAAGTTTGACAAAACTGGTGGAAAGAATAAGGCCATTGAATATGATAACTTCATCGAGTATGTATCTCTGCATTAATGCAAATCTTTCTTGTTACTGTTCTATTATGTCTACCTCGGCTCTTTTGTTCTACATTTTACTAATTTAAGTATTTGCGCTTTTGTTTCCTTTGCTTGATTCAGGTGCTGCCTCACTGTGAAGGTAAAGCTACACTGTCTTCTGTCTATTCTGGCATTTGAATACATTCTCCGAGCTGGATCCAACCATTTTATATAGTCACTTGGGTGTTTGTGTTCTCACATGTTTTTTTTTTTTTTTGCAGGGACTAACTGACAAATTCAAGGAGAAGGATACTTCATATTCTGGCTCGGCTACATTCTCTTACGAGTCCTTCATGCTAACCGTTTTACCTTTCCTGATCGCTTAGGAGCATGTGAATCTTACAATTACCTTGTGGTTTTTACTAGTATCTTTTCGTTTTGATAATTTGTTTTCAGATAGTATGCTTCTGTTTGGTGTTGTAATAGATCGAGTTGGGTGAAGTTAAATCACTTTCTTGTAGAAGCCAGTGTGTTGCAGCTGTTAATGGGATATAAAAATAATTTTGATGTGTTTTTGAAAGCGATGAATTCAAACTTCAAAGCTGTCAAATGCATGATTAGTTTCTGGGTTTGTTTTTCTTGGCAGTCAAGTAAGCTCCCAAAAGAATAGCAAAATTCAAGTATAAATGTAAAACAGCATTTGCACAGCATGCGGTATTTGTAGGCAAAGATACAGCTCGGACTGCTCTTTGGTGTGTTTATTGGTTACGGTTTTGAAAAACTCTACGTAATTAAATTCGATATAGTTTGATTTTCTAACAACATATGTCACCTATAACGCCGTAAAAATGTTGTCGTATTGTTTAAATGCAACGGTGAACACATAGGTAGTATTAAGTTGAATATCATTACCTATAATCACTAATAAATACAATTTTGCGGGTTATTTTTTCGATAAAGCCACATGAAAAGACCATTACTTATGTTGAGGTGGAACGCGACATAAACATAGATAAGACGACAGACATGACGATATGGCATGCTACATTGACATTAACTTAAAGCGATGCTTTAGATGATGTGGCAATCATGTCAAGTACACATAGATGTGGAGATTTGATAAATGTACAATGGTTTTTTAATTAGTCATTTAATATTTTTAGATTTTATTTTTTGCATGTGTCAGATATTTGTTAATGATAATGATTTTCTAGCCAGCATACTTTGATTATGTTATTTTTGTATTTGTTTTATTCCGCTCTCTATTATAGGCAGGACATATTATAAAAGCAAAAAACTTATCTGGTTCCATCTTTTCTAAATTATGCTAGACGAGTATACTTCTGGCATAATATAAATTTTTATTATAAATAGGTATAAGGAGTTCACATCCCGAGCAGTACTATAAGAATCAATATTGAACATTTTGCATGTAATTATACAAGCTCTCACAATATTAAGATATCTGGAAATCAATACCCGAGCTCCAGCTTTGCTTACATTCTTCATTGGTGCTTGCAAGATCTATCACTCATCTCGCTCCTAAGGCATCTCACTCCTAAGGTAAGGAGCCTTCTTGTATATTATATTTTTACAAGAAATTATATTTTTTGGCTGAATTTTGAAATTAAGGTGACTAATAGTTTTGGAAATTTTCAATTTGATATTTTGGTATTCGGTTGAAATACTGTACTAAAACAAAACATAGTTAAATACAGGCCTATACAATTTTCCTCTTATTCCGTTTCGTTCCACTTTGTTCGAGTCCATTTGGCTTAAAGAGAAGCAGGTGAGCTTAAAATATAGTAATTGTTATAGAGAAAGTAAGATGTATATACATGTCTGTAGAGAAAACAAGACGTGTGTTCAAAATGATAGGAGACTTGTCGATGAGATTAAGATAATAGGATCCTATGTTTGGTTCATGAGTTAATAGCGGGATTGAAGTTGGATTTTTTTTTTTTTAAGAATTGTACATTTATAGGTTTATTTCACAAATCCACTTAAATAAGAATGGGAAAAAATTACTTCGTTGTATTTACTGTTTACAAAAGGTGATTTAGTAGTTAAAGAATTGAGTGCGACAATCGAAAGGGAGTGTTTTGAATCCAAATAGACAACAATAAGACCCTTTTTTTTTCGCCCTTGATGAATTTTAATTATTTAGGTTTCAATCGTTAAGTGTAGTTTTTTACAACTATTACATGTGTCTAAATAAATTTGAATGATTAAGGTTTATAACAAAGATTTAATATTGTTAAGATGTTGCTATTTCATTTTAAGGGTTTATGCAAAGAAGGCGTTTCACTAATATTTTACCCGCTTATACCACTGCCCGCCATTGTCGCTACTCACTACCACTACCATTAAAACTCATGACTCACTACCACTACTATGCCAATCAACACAATCAACCGTACCACAATAACCATTTAAAATCATCACTACCGACCACTATAACCACAAATCACCACCCATTACCATCACTAATTATCGCTATTGGTCGCCATCATTATTAGTTATCATCATTATCCCCCATAATTATCAGCCATCATTACTAGTTACTATTATCAACCACCACCATTAGTCATTAATGTCAATCGCCATAACTACAAGCTATTATTGATAATCATTACCATCACTAATCACCATCATCAGTCATCACATACAACCACCACTGTTAGTCATACCACCACCAACCATCATATAATTTTTTAAATTTTTACTAATACAGTATTAAGTTTAATTAGTATTTTACGTAATTTCTTTTGTATTTTATCAATTTTTAATAAAACTATACATTTAAATATTAAGAAAATAAATAATCTTATTATTTACCCGTAAAACGGTACAGTTGAATTTATACGTGGTTTCTAGATAAGTGAATTAATTTGATCGTGAAATAATTCAATAATTGGAGAAATGTATAATACTTAGCCTTGAAAAATAGATGAAAACAACAGAGATGATAATTTCGGGAACAATGTTTCCGGGCACAGCGATGATGAGATCAAAAAGCAAGAAAGTAAAATTGTATAAAGGTTTGTATGGAATAGAATGTAAGTTTAGCAGGAAAATTCGTCTCCTTTACAATGATAACTGAGCTCACTATTTATAGTTATGTCTAGTGAAGGAAGTCCTAAAATCATGTCCTCCTTTAATGTCAATTATGAGGGTCATTGATAAAGACATAACGATGAACATAAATATCAAATTCTTTGTAACGGACCGTCGCTCTTAATGCTGCAGAATATTTCCAATTAAATGCTATCGGGCGCAGAGCATTTAACACACCTTTATGAACGTTATCCTTTCTGGTGACAAGCGGAATGGTTGCGTTCGGTCTTCGGTCATTCCTGTCTTGGGTTCCACGTGTCCTCTCTTTAGACGTCCACATATCATATTATATTTCACCCTATAAAGATAGTCCCCCTGCTTTTTGGTGACATAACTTTGTGTTACCGGAAAGTTGGTAGAAGCACCTTTTTGGTGGGAATTACTATCTCTCCCTCTGAAGGTCCCTGGCAGTTGATTAGACGCACGTCTCTCCGCATTTAATATCCCGAACACGCATCATCCCATGATTCAGCACAACTTTTTCTGATTATCGAGGTAATCATGGCCATGAATTTAGCCGCCAAAATTTTACTTATACGCTGTATTCTTTTCCTTTGCATTTCATAATTCCTCGAAATCCTGATTTGCATCTTTGTTTTCTGTTATTTCTCTAGTTCTCTTTAAACACTAAACCTTTTCCTTCTTCTTTTTCAATGGCTTCTTCCTATAAGCGTGTTGGTTCTACAAAGAACAAAAACAAAATCGAGGACTCTATTTCTCCAACGGTTGGTTCCATCATCCCAAGAAAACTCAATACCAAAAAGGACCTAGAAGAGAAATTCCCTACTACTAACCCTCGTATATTGGATGTTAGTAAGTACTCTTCTTCCATTCGTCCTTCCAGTATTCCTGCTGTGAAGGAAGACTGTCGCTGCCATGAGTTGAATATCATTGCTCCTGATCTATCAGAGCGAGTGACCCTTCCCAAGGAAGGTTTTACATACTTTTACGCGTATCCCTTTACTTTGGGTGCGTTTTCTTTGAGTGGAGAGTTTGATTCCGTGATTGCGGAGTTTTGCTTTCGCTACCAAGTGTGTTTAGCACAGGTAAGTCTTTTAGTGTAGAGGACGGTCACATGTCTTCGATGCTTGTACCAGGAAACTGGAGAGTAGCTAACCTTAGCTCATATGATGAATCTCTATTCCCCCAAAATCTTCTACGGGGGAATGATAAACCTCTGCAAGCGTGGCCACTATGCTTTGCTGTCTTGCATGGACGATGACAACGATTGTGGGTAGATGGAACAGTTCATTGTAGTTGCCACCAACGACATCATTCCGACAACGGCTTCATCCTTTCTGGTCGCTTGGAACTGCACTCGTAAGTTCTTTGTTTTGTATTTCTTTTTACTAGATATTCCTTTGTGGTCGTATCAACTCTTCACCTTTCGCATGTTTTAGCAACTCGATGGATCCCATCGGTGGTGGAAGATTTGGACCGGTGGGTTCAGAAGATCTTGGACGTCACGATGCCCGAAACTCATTTGTGGAAAGAACTGACCCTTAAATAAGAGTGGAAGGCCAAAAATCATGGCAATTTTAATTTACCTTGCTTCCATTATGAAAAACTTGGTTGAACCCTTCTGACTCGTTCATGAAATTAGGTCTACCTGCGAGCTCTGTTGCTGTCCCCGAGGAGGACGTTTTGACTGATCCTGCTGATGCAGCGAGGCTGCTTCAGGAAGCACTTACTCAAATAGGTATCCTCGGCCCTGTCTCGGGTGCAAACACTTCTTTACGGAGTCCCCGGCCGGAGGATAAGCAACCAAAGAGAAGATGTTCCTCCGCGGCCGAGGAAAATAATAAGAGGGCAAAGACTGATGCCCCCGAGTCATCTTCGGTGGCGATGATGATTGGTCCTCCTTCCGGGCTGGTCATAGACACTGTGATGATTGATGATGATGATGAAGCTGTTGATGATGGAGTTTTTTTTACACAGAAGTCGACGATCCTCATCATCTCAACAGGATGCTCGACCTGTTGAGATAGTTACACCAGCTGAAGATGATGTCTCGACACTTTCGGGAGAATCTGATTTGGTAGAATATGCCAACTCCCGTTTTCGGGCCCCAACTGATGTAACAGGTGCTGCGGAGCTGAGTACCGGGTCCTTACCGTCTTTAGTTGGCGAGCATCCAACAGCCGACACTGCATTTGATGCAACTGCTTCTCATTCTTCAACTCCATCAGCTTTATCTCCACCTTCACCAATATCAGCAACTGCTACATCACTTCCATCTTCATCCACTCTTCCACCAGCAATTGCTACATCACCTCCATCGGCCGCACCTGACCATGAAGAAGGTATTCCTCTTCCACAGTCCCCAGTTCATGGGAATTTGGGGCAAAATTATGCTGCCCTTTTTGAATATCCACAAAAGAGGAGGAACGTTACTCTCTCGGTCTCTATCGGATGCAACTTGCTATCCCGGCCGATGGAGCTTGCTAACTATCTGAAGCCATTAGCTTTAGAAAAAGTCTGGGAAAAGATTCAGGCACTCTCGGGA